TCTCCAGCTTTAGGCACCCTTGAGCACACCCAGCAAGTGGTGATTTCCATCCCTTGTCCTCAGGGAGAACATTCCCTCTGCCTGTGGAACTGCTCCTCAGTGTCTCACTGGGCTTCCTTGGTGCCTTTCCACACTATTCTCTTTTCCATGTCTTATCACTCTATTTCCTAGAGCATGTTTAACAAACTAAGCAAAATGCTACCCCAGGATTGCTCCAGAGAACCTGATGAAATACAAGTTAGTGTTTATAAGAAAACTGGGTTGTTTTTTGGTTTTTTTTAAATCCTGTTTGCTTTGCCTGCAAAGCCAAGAGCTGTAATTCGACTTGCTCCCATGTGTATGATAACACCAGGCAGTACATTTGTTTATTGTTACACATTTTGGTTCTTGATAGGGCTGAGAGGATATCAAACCCAGTTTATTGTTCATAAACAGTAATTCACCCTCTGCATCTGTCACGTAAGACACTGCTGAAAAGAAAGAATTCTTCTCTCAAGGTTTCAAGTGACATTTGCAGTGTCAACGGATAGTACTTGTATAAGAGAAATGTTGGCAAAGTGAGGAAAAAAATTACTAAAAAAGATTTCTGGTTTTACTTTTTGAACTGTTAGAGCTGCCTGCATTCATGGAACTGGTAGAGTTTGCTTTGCCAACATGAAGAAGGCTGGTGGAAACCCCCACGCAGTGACTGCAACACAGAGGAGACTTATTTTCATGGTTCAGCAAAGCAGAGAACGTGCTGTACTTGACAAAAACATGCAAAGCACACGGTTGGTGTCTTACCTGTTCTCACCCCCTGCAAAAGGCAGATGAACATGATACCCAGCCTCAGCATATGGACTTCCACATGAAACTTCTAGAAGATTTCAAGGATCCCAGAATTTCTTTGTCTCTGACAACAGTTTGGTCTCTTTCTGCCAGTCACAGTAGGTGTGGTGAGAGGAGGAAGTTGCCAGCCAAAAAATTAAGATCAGTCTTTAGTTAGAGAACTAAAGCTTCTTCATAACAAGGTGGGGCACCTTCTACCCTACCAGGTTTCCTTGTTTTAAATACAGCTTGCCCTGGGCAATGACTAAGCAAAGACACAAATGGTTTGGGATCACACTGTGGGCCACGATTTGACTGCATGTGTTGAAATGAAGGGAATGATTGCAGGTCTGTTTGTCTTCTGCAAAGAAATTCAAAAGGCAGCAGAGAACGTAGGTGTCACTGCAAGTCTGATCAGCATCTGGGCAGGGCCAGTACTTGGTTTCCCAGGGCCCTGGGAAACTGGCAGCATTCCTGATGATCCTGACTGCCCACATCCCCCCAGCTCTGCCCAGCATCCCTTCTGACTTGGAGCTGCCAGCTCAGGCCAGCACAGCCCTGTGTGACAGCTGGGCTAGGCTGAGTCCAGCTGGGTCCCCATGGGGCTGCCAAGCAGCTGCTCTCTTGGATGACACTCCAGCATCTGGCATCCCCACCACAGCTCCTTGTAGACCTTCTGGAACCTCATAAATCCAGCTTGAATTTTGAAAAAAAGGGCTTTTTTTCCCTCCCCCTCTGCTGAGGGAAGGAAGAACAAAGGTGCAAAGTCAACTGTCAGGGCAGGAAAGGAGGAGTGAAATTGGAGCTGGGAGATCCAGTGGCAAAATGGGCAAGATGAGGATGGTAGAGAGTTTGTGGTGAGAGAGGGGAAGGGAAGAGAGAACAGAGATGGCTGCTGGATACAAGCTGTGGCAGCTTTGCTTGGTGTTTTCTTTGCTAAGTCTTCTAATGTAGGGAACAATGGGAGGATCAGAATCACCTCCCTGAACACAGGCTGTTCTTCCCCACAAGGAGCTGAACTGTTACAGTTCCCAGCTGTGTGGTGTTCCTTTGATCCATGCTGTACCTAGCGAGCTTTTTCATAGAATCAGAGAATGGTGAAGGTGGGATGGGACCTTCAAGATCATCCAGCTCCAACCCCCTGCATGGGCAGGGACACCTCCCACCAGCCCAGGCTGCTCCAAGCCCCATCCAACCTGCCCTTCAACACTGCCAGGGATGGGGCAGCCACAGCTTCCCTGGGCAACCTGGGCCAGGCTCTCACCACCCTCACACTCCACAGTTTCCTCCTCATGTCCAACCTGAATCTCCCCTCTTTAAGCTTCAAACCATTGTCCCTTGTCCTCTCCCTACACATCCCTGTAAAAAGCCCAACCCCAGCTTTCCTGTAGGCCCCTTCAGGTCTTTGCTAATTCCTGGGTCACTCCTCACTTCTGCCTGCCAGCCTTTGGCCACCACCCAGGCCAGGCTTGAGTTTCATTATATTGAAGAAGATAAGGATTGAAAAAAGACAACAAAAAACTTCTGTGAAGCTGAAAGCCCCAGGAAAGTGCTTTTGCTTTTTTTTTTTTTTTCCTTTTCTGATGCACTGGCAAAATAAAATCATTTGAAACATTGTTTTCCTTCCAGTTCCTTTCTCACCTCTGCCAGTGATCCCAAACTCTGTCAAAATATTTTCTCTTCAGCAAGTTCTGGCAACGATGTGAAGGAATCAGGCCAACAGTGAAAGATGCAAGAGGAACAGAAGGTTTTCACCTGCTGCAAAAGACTTTGGATACAAGGAGATAAATCAAGAGGGCCTTGCCTTTCTCCTCAGCACAAAAAGAGGTAACAGCTTCTTGCCTGAAGCCTCCCTGGCTTCTTTGCCCCATCACTTCTGATTTGTTTCCCACCTGAGCCACCTCCCCCAAGCAGCTGGTGCAGAGGGACTGGCAGGCTCTGCCTTGGAACTCTCCATCATCCCTCCAAAGTCAAGGAGTTTGAGTAACCACCATTTTTAGCATAAACTAAGGCTGTTCACAGGGCACCTCTGGGCAAACCCACCCAGGGTGTCAGCACTGGAAATGCTGTCCCTGCCACCATCAAACCCCAAGATGAGGAGTTCACATCTTTCACACCTGCCCCACAGCACCTTCCCCAGCCACACCAGTTAAAGGCGGTAACAACTGACTTAGGTTTTTTTGATTTTTGTACACTGACCACAGAATCCTTCCTGGGACATAAGCCTTCAGAGTCAGAAATTATCCCATCATGAGCTCTGGAATCAGTAACAACTCGAGACAGTAAAAGCAAATTCTTTTATCACACGTAGAAAACATTTAAGGGCTGAACTGTCACCATCTTGAGGATAATTTAGCAGAAGAGATGAAATAATTTTACAGAAGGGAAAGAAACATCCTGCTCTGAGCTTTGAGGTGTCAGCCACTGCTTCTTCACACACCACAGGAGCATTTCAAATTGTGTTTGGTCACTAGGAGTAGAACCATTGTTGGAATCCCAGCCTTTCAGAAACGTTTCCTCCTCAGAGAAGTTTAGGACAGCCATGCTCAGCTGCTAAATATTTTCCATCTTGCATCCATGGATGAACTCACCCTCATTGACTAGTTGCCCGTGGGTGGAATGTTTTCATGGAGATACTGGAGAGCCAGATCTGTCCACTTCATCTCTTGCTCTTTCACAGACTCAGTTGTGCCACCGTTGTCCTGCTCTGGTTCAGGAAGCTCATTCTGAGGACAAAGCAGAGGCAAAATGCATCCCACATGGAACAGGCTTCCTGAGGGGAGCAGGTGCCTGAGACTTTATACAAAAACCCCCACAGGAGACCAGAAGGTGCAGCTGAACAATGCAGGTCTCACACACTGAGTCACTTAAAAATATCACCACGAAAAAGAAGTCTCTTCACACCAATGTGGGGCTTCATCTGAAGGGTAAATGGGTTTGAATTGGCTTTTTTTGTCCCTCTGGGGCCCCTTCACACCACACAGTCAGTGAAGGAGGAGAACACCCAGCAGATGCCAGGTAAGTAGGTAACACAACACTGCAATTATTCCACTGCTTATTTGCAAGGTGGGATGTGTTGGGTTTTTTTTGCTGCTGCCAAGAACATAGCGACTGCATTTCCTGTAGCTGTCATTAAGGCAACTGGTTCTGTAAGGTGTTACTTCCCTGGGGCAGGTGTGAAATCCTTCCTCCTGCCACAGGCTGAGCTCAGGTGTGGCTGTGCTGAGGCACCAGCAGGGGCCAGGAACCCTGCAAGGAGCCGCACACCAGGCAGGAAGCCTGACTGAAATTTCACTTTCTCTCCTGAGCTGATTTGTTCCCTGTGTTGGTGCAGTCACACACAGGGGGTGTGACTCTGCCTGATGCCATTTGGGGAGGAATTCTAAGTTCCAGATCTCTAGAACTCCCAGCATGAGCTGAAGAACATGTTTCAGCTTGGGAAGCAGCCTATGATTGAGGCCTGTTGGAGGTCACAGGGATGTGTCCTGTGAGCACTGGATCAAATACCACTTCCCAGCCATTGTTTGCTTCTTCCAGTGCTGCTGACTCAGCCTCCTGAACTTGTGCTGGTTTTCCTCTGTGATCAGGGCCAACCCCATCCCTGAGGATCTTTATATCCACAGCCAGGCCTTTCTGCCTCTTGTTAGTTGATGAGGCTTCCTGCTCTAAGGCTGCCATCTGTGTGGGACTGTGTGTAGCTCAAGAGATGGATGTGTCTTCACCTGGACACAGGGCGAAGGCAAAAGCCAGCAAGGAATGAGGCTGTGACATTGGACTTGCCTCATAAAGGTCATCCCAAGGGAAGTGGAGCTTGGGCTCTCCTAGCTGAGAACTGGGGTTCTGCAAGATCAACCCCTCAAGCCCAAACCTGGGCAGGAAAGCCTGGGTGCTGAATGTGTGGATCCAGGAGGTGTGCAGCTGCTCCCTGCCCTCTCTGAAAAATGGGGCTGAGGCCTGAAGCTTGAGCCCTGTCCCTGGCAACCTGGAAGTGTCTCTGTGCTGAGAGAAACCAGCAGCCCCCCAGCCCCTCCAGTGCTGGCTGGGGTGAAACAGAGCAAGGGAAGGGAGAAGCCTCAGGAGCCTTTAGCTTCCCTGGCACTTGCACAATGGCTAAGGAAGGCGGGAGATCTGAGGCTTCACCTTAGGGTTTGTGGGTGGCTTTTCCACACAAGACATGATGCTACAAGCAAAAGTCCCACAGCACATGCCAGTGTGTTCACTACTGTCCTTGAACTGGCCACAGTAAGAGTGGGAGAGAGTGACTGGGAAGACATTTGAAAAGTCTTCATCTTCTTTTAATGAAATCTCAGACAGTGAAAATAAAAGGCAACCTAGAGTGCAGCTGTCAGCATGAGACTGGTCCTCTCTGTCCTACAAATGAACTGGGAAACCACTTCAAACACTAACAACACCAAGTGGAAGCACAAGGAAAGGAAGATTCCACTTCTCCCTGCTGCCAAACCCAGAACTGTGTGATGGGAAGTTCCCACTCCAGCTCCATGACGTGGCAGCTGGTCAGGGAGAAAGAAACACCCACACCCTCATATGCACAGAGGAATGGCTGGTTTATAGGACAGAAAAGGAGGGAGTCAGGTCCATCCTGGGAACCTTTTGTACAAGTTGGCAGTTCTGGAAAGGGCTGTGACAACCACAGCACTCTCCCTGGGATGGGGCTGAAGCAGCTCACCTACCAGAGGGATGGCCACGTCCTCGTAGGGCAGCTTGTCTTCCCTCCAGGCATCATCAATCAGGTCCAGAATCCTGCCATCCCTCTGCACCTCACTGTCCATCCCTGCAGCAGGGCCCTGCAGCTGCACCTGGGGCACAGGGGCAGCTCCTCACATCCCTGCCTGCAGCTGGAGCCTGGACTGTGCAGTTTGGACCCTTGCTCCAGTGTTGGTCCCCTTGCTGTTAAGCTCAAACTTTTTATGGGCCCTGGGGTTGGGACTGGAGCTTGCGATTGGGGTCCTGGGGCTGGGATTGGGGCCCTGGGGTTGGGGTCCTGGGGCTGACGCCCTAGGGCTGGGGGCCTGGGGCTGGGGCTCTGCGGTTGGGGCCCTGGGGTTGGGGGCCTGGGGTTGGCATCGTGGTCCTGGGGTTGGAATTGGGGCCCTGGGGTTGGGATTGGGGCCCTGGGGTTGGGAGTGGGGCCCTGGGGCTGGGATCGGGGCTGGGGCTGGGAGTGGGGCATGGGCT